AGATAGAGATAGATTAGATAGATAGATAGGGGGAGATAGAGAGATAGATAGAGGGGGATAGGAGATAGATAGAGATAGATAGAGATAGATAGATAGAGATATGAGGGATAGATATGAGAGAGAGAGAGAGAGAGAGAGAGAGGAGAGAGAGAGAGAGAGAGAGGGGGGGGGGGGGAGGGAGAGAGAGAGAGAGAGGGGGGGGGGATAGAGAGAGAGGGGGGGGGGGGGAGGGGGATAGAGAGAGAGGGGGGAGAGAGAGGGGGGGAGAGAGAGAGGGAGAGGGGGGGATAGAGAGAGAGGGGGGGGGGAGAGAGAGAGAGAGAGATGGGGGGTAGAGAGAGAGGGAGAGGGGGGGGGGATAGATAGGTAGATGAGAGGAGAGGAGAGAGGAGAGAGAGAGAGAGAGGGGGGGATAGATAGAGAGAGGGGGGATAGAGAGAGAGAGATGGGGGGAGAGAGAGAGAGATAGGTAGAGAGAGAGAGAGGAGAGAGAGAGAGAGGGGGGGGGGAGGGATAGATAGATATGAGAGAGAGAGGGGGGGGGTAGAGAGAGAGAGGGAGAGGGAGGGGATAGATAGAGAGAGGGGGGAGGGGGAGAGAGAGAGAGATGGGGGGAGAGAGAGAGAGAGATATGAGAGTAGATAGGAGAGATAGATATGAGAGAGAGAGAGAGAGAGGATAGAGAGAGAGAGGGGGGAGGGAGAGGGATAGGGGATAGATAGATAGGAGATAGATAGATAGAGAGGTAGATATGAGAGAGAGAGAGAGGGGGGGGAGAGGGAGGAGGGAGATAGGAGAGAGAGAGAGAGAGAGAGAGAGAGATAGGGATATAGATAGGTAGATAGAGAGAGAGATAGAGAGAGGGGGGGGAGGGGGAGGGGGAGGGGAGAGAGATAGAGGATAGATAGATAGATAGGAGATAGATAGATAGATAGATAGATAGATAGATAGATAGATAGATAGATAGATAGATAGATAGATAGATAATAGATAGATAGATAGATGTTGCTGCCTTTGATCTGAACCCCGGGATGCTGACATGGCAGTAATGTTGACCACAGCTCTATCTTGCCATCCTGGGCAGCTGTAATCCGAGGTGTAATAAAGAGCGATGGTGGGGTGACCTTCTCCCACAAACATTCCATGCATGTACAGTATGAAGAGTATAGAGTCAGCTTTCCTCCTCCTTTCTAGCCCATGGCGGCATGATCTGGAGCACCAGCCCCCACCCTCCTCGAACTTACCATCCACCGGGCTGTAATTCAGGTACGGGGCCCACAAAGGAGCCGTGAGGAGATAAGTTCGTTCATTAAGGCGGTGAAAAAGCTTTTGCTTGCGGAAAGTCATTTTCCTAAATGTAAAGAGGCGGTGGTGCGAGGGAATCAGTGTGAGGTCCGCGCTGAATAGGTCAGGAATAGAGCGAGGAGCTGGACGCGGTGTGCCCGTGATAAGTGCGGCGGAATGATTGCTGAACGCAGGCGGGCGACGGTGGCAGTGAGCCGTTTAGGAATTATTTGAAAGAATTTATTAGAATTGATGGCTTAACCGCACTGCAAGCCGTAGAACGTGATGGAACAAAGCGCGCCGACCTATGAAAACGTTGTATGGTCACAGCAAGGCAAGCGTCCTCTGCAGGATTGAAACTATAAATGCAGCTCTGTGTTCGTGAATACATCATTAAGAGACCGTTCACACTTGTGCGACTTGTCATGTAACTTTTGGGTCCAAAGTCGCATGACAAGTTGTACCCCATGTCTCCCAATGATTTTGACTTGGTATCAGCCTTTTGCAGAGCTACTTCTCCCTTCACTGTCCAGTCACAGGTTAGGGAGGGACAAGATCTGTAAGGGTTCTTCTACATTGGCAGCTGGGGGGTGGGGGGAGGCAAAAGCAAGTGGCTGTGCCCACCCATTGAGAAACACTGGGCCCACAATTGTGGTTCAGCAAAAATAAATAAATAAATAGGCCTTAAGAGGTGACAACAGCACCTCCTAAACACCTACCAGCTGTTGCTGTGGAATTTCTGCAGATCAGGTTTCAGAGGGTGGTAAGCATTGGTTCCTGTCTTAAAGAGCCCTTGGTGTTACTGCAGCAGAGAAAAAGTAGTCTCTTTTCAAGCCAGGACTGTGATATGTAACAGAGCTGTGTACATCTCAGTACTGGATGGACAGGATTAGAAATCCTTTGATAGGTAGATCAGCTTCTCTATTTGTTCTTGGAGATCAGCTGTAAAGAGGAACTGCCACTTTATGCATTGACATACCTCCTTAGACCCAGTCGGTGCACACAGTATGGCCAGCTGCTGAATTGACGCCATCCACAGGCAGCTTAACTCCTCAACAAAACACAGAAGTTGAATTCCATGCAGTTTTACAGTATAGAGGATGTTTTTCAACTCTTTTCAAGTGTAAGAAGATAGTGACTTTCCATTGACCTGTTTCTGTGAATAACTAGCAATGAAACATGGAAGAAGTAGGGAGGGTCTAGCTAAGACTAAACTAATTAGCACTAAACAGGAGGGGAAGACAGAGGAAGATATCAAAATCACATTAGTAAATAAGTTGCAGTGGCCTAAAACTGACACTAGATGTCAGCCTACTACAGAAAAGGGATAGCTTTGTGCAGTTCAATACAAGACATAGCATATAGGTGAAGGTGGGGCAGGAAAGTGGCAAAGAAAAGCAGGTAAGAATCTATAACTGCATTTGCTAAAACCCTTAACTGTAAATAACCAGCCTTTTTTTTTTTTTTTCTCAACAAAACTGGAATTTTACTTTTATGTTTTTGGCTGTGATCCCATTCTCGGTTACTTTGTGTCTGTGTATCCCCTCCCCCGCCCAGATCTATCTCTCCAACAGGCCTCAGTGCAGGCACCACATTGGATCCATATATTAGCGTGCTTTATTGCTGAGGGATTGAAACTGCATTTATTTTATGACCGTCACAGGAAAGAGTAAGTGTTCCTCACCGCATTGAGACTCGGTATAATGTGCAAATTTGTAAAACAAATCTCTTCCAGCCCGATCTCTCCATGCAGAATGCAGACATGCCGCTTGTTTTATGGCTTCATGCCATTAGCCTTCCAAAAATAAATAAGCAAAGAAAAAATGTTTTTAGTTTTCATTACAATATTGCACAGTACTCAGTGCGCTCATTTATCTCAGGCAGGTGGCTTTACGTAAAGCATGGAGTGATGTGCCAAGTGTGCCAACCAATAAGAGTGATGTGTTAACCGAGCTAACCAATAGGAGACATGTGCTAAGTGTGCCAACCAATAGGAGTGATGTGCTAAGTTCGCCAACCAATAGGAGTGATGTCCTAAGTGCGCTAACCAATAAGAGTGATGTGCTAAATTGCGCCAACCAATGGGAGTGATGTGCTAACCAAGCTAATCAATAGGAGTGATGTGCTAAGTGCACCAACTAATAGGAGTGATGTGCAAACTGAGCTAACCAATAGGAGTGATGTGCTAAGTGTGCCAACCAATAAGAGTGATGTGTTAGCCGAGCTATCCAATAGGAGAGATGTGCTAAGTGCGCCAACCAATAGGAGTGATGTGTTAACCGAGCTAACCAATAGGAGAGATATGCTAAGTGTGCCAACCAATAAGAGTGATGTGCTAACCGAGCTAACCAATAGGAGTGATGTCCTAAGTGCTCCAACCAATAAGAGTGATGTGCTAAATTGCACCAAACAATGGGAGTGATGTGCTAACTGAGCTAATCAATAGGAGTGATGTGCTAAGTGCATCAGCTAATAGGAGTGATGTGCAAACTGAGCTAACCAATAGGAGTGATGTGCAAACTGAGCTAACCAATAGGAGTGATGTGCTAAGTGTGCCAACCAATAAGAGTGATGTGCTAACCGAGCTAACCAATAGGAGTGATGTGCTAAGTGCACCAACTAATAGGAGTGATGTGCAAACTGAGCTAACCAATAGGAGTGATGTGCTAAGAGCATCAACTAATAGGAGTGATGTGCAAACTGAGCTAACCAATAGGAGTGATGTACTAAGGGCACCAGCCTAGAAAACTGATGTGCTAAGTTTGCCATAGGAGTGATGTGCTAACCGAGCTAACCAACAGGAGTGATGTGCTAAATGCGCTAACCAATAGGAGTGATATGCTAACTGAGCTAACCAATAGGAGTGATGTGCTAAGTGCACCAACTAATAGGAGTGATGTGCTAAGTGCACCAACTAATAGGAGTGATGTGCTAAGTGCACCAACCAACAGGAGTGATGTGGTAACTGAGCTAACCAATAGGAGCGATTTAATAAATGTACCAGCCTATAAGAGTGATGTGCTAAGTGTGCCAACCAATAAATATGATGTGCTAAGTGTTTCAACCAACAGGAGTAATGTGCAAAGTGCGCCAACCTATATGAGTTAAGTGCTAAATGCGCCAACCAATAGGAGTGATCTGCTAAGTGCGCCAACCTATAAGAGTAATGTGATAAATTTGCCAACCAATAGGAGTGATCTGCTAAGTGCTCCAACCAATAAGAGTAATGTGATAATTTTGCCAACCAATAGGAGTGATGGGCTAAGTGCTCCAACCAGTAGGAGTGATGTGCTAAGTGCGCCAACCTATAAGAGTAATGTGATATGTTTGCCAACCAATAGGAGTGATGGGCTAAGTGTGCAGGAGCATATAAGAGTGATGTGCTAAGTGTGCCAACCAATAGAGTGATGTTGCTAAGTGCAGGAGCCAATTAGAGTGATGTGCTAAGTGTGCCAACCAATAGAAGTGATGTGCTAAGTGCGGGAGCCAATTAGAGTGATGTGCTAAGTGTGCCAACCAATAAGAGTGATGTGCTAAGTGTGCCAACCAATAGGTGTGATATGCTAAGTGTGCCAACCAATAGGTGTGATATGCTAAGTGTGCCAACCAATAAGAGTGATGTGCTAAGTGTGCCAACCAATAATGATGTGCTAAGTGTGCTAGGTGTGATTATGTGTGCCAACCAATAGGTGTGATGCTAAGCTGTGCCAACCAATAAGAGTGGTGTGCTAAGTGTGCCAACCAATAGGTGTGCCAACCAATAGGTGTGATGTGCTAAGGCCAACCAATAGGTGTGATGTGCTCTCTAGCCAAGTCTTTTCTCTGGGCTTGATTGGCTTGTGGGTCATAGGGTGAGCCCCCTACATGGCTTCTGGCATCCAGTCTTCTCAGAGGGTGACCTGGTTTCTTGGCATCAGCACACTCACTACTTTTTGTATGTAAAGCAGTCTTTCTCAAACCTTTCTACATGGAGGAATCCTTCAAGTAACTTGCTGGTCTCAGGGAACTCCGGCTAATGATTACTTTATCTACAGCTCCCAGTACATTACATTTTGGTCAATGGAAAGAATGATTCTTGGGTGCTGGTCAGTGGGAAGAATGCTCCTTACATTGGGGGTCAGTGGGAAGAATGTCCCTTACATTGGTGATCAGTGGGAAGGAATGTCCCTTACATTGGTGATCAGTGGGAAGAATGTCCCTTACATTGGTGATCAGTGGGAAGAATGTCCTTACATTGGTGATTGGGAAGAATGATCCTTACATTGGTGATCAGTGGGAAAATGACATTGCAGTCCTTACATTGGTGATCAGTGAGAAGAATGATCCTTACATTGGTGATCAGTGGGAAGAATGATCCTTACATTGGTGATCAGTGAGAAGAATGCTCCTTACATTGGTGGTAAGTGGGAAGAATGATCCTTACATTGGTGATCAGTGGGAAGAATGTTCCTTACATTGGGGGTCAGTGGGAAGAATGATCCTTACATTGGTGATCAGTGGGAAATGTCCCTTACATTGGTGTGTCAGTGGGAAGAATGATCCTTACATTGGTCATCAGTGAGAAGAATGTCCTTACATTGGTGATCAGTGGGAAGAATGTCCTTACATTGGTGATCAGTGGGAAGAATGATCCTTACATTGGTGATCAGTGAGAAGAATGCTCCTTACATTGGTGGTCAGTGGGAAGAATGATCCCTTACATTGGTGATCAGTGAGAAAAATGATCCTTACATTGGTGATCAGTGGGAAGAATGTTCCTTACATTGGTGATCAGTGGGAAGAATGTCCCTTACATTGGTGATCAGTGGGAAGAATGCTCCTTACATTGGTGATCAGTGGAAGAATGTCCCTTACATTGGTGATCAGTGAGAAGAATGCTCCTTACATTGGTGATCAGTGGGAAGAATGCTCCTTACATTGGAGATAAGTGGGAAGAATGTTCCTTACATTGGTGATCAGTGGGAAGAATGTCCCTACATTGGTGGTCAGTGGGAAGAATGTCCCCTATATTGGTGGTCAGTGGGAAGAATTCCTTTACATTGGTGGTCAGTGGGAAGAATTCCCTTTATATTGGTGGTCAGTGGGAAGAATCCTCCTTACATTGGAGGTCAATGGGGGGAATGCCCTCCTTATAAATAGCTAAAATGACCATCGTGGTCAATGACTACTTATCTGAGAGGCAGACATTACTCATTGCTCAGGAAACTCCATAACAACTCCTGGAGGAACCCTAGGGTTCCATGGAACCTTGGCTGAGAAAGGTTGGTCTACAAGTGCATTAGAATGGCGCCACAAGGAATGAACAATGTATCATGCGTTATCATGTGTTGCATTATGTTTTATGACTTTTCACCTCAACGCATCGCTGTGAATAATCCTAATATTATCCGGAAATGTTTTGTGAGTAGAGAAGTCTTTAGGGTCCGTGTTACGTATCTCTATGCCTTCATTTCTTATTGTTTACCCAGCAAGATGTATGCATCTTGTGACACCTACAGTCATGCTCAAAGGTTTACCTCCCCTTGGAGGACTGGCAATATACAGTATGCACCATTTTTAAAGAAATCATGAGTGAACCGGTAAAACCTATTTCTTTGATTTTTTATGGGATTCATATTCTGTAGCTGTAGGTCAGAGGTTCTCAACTGTGGGTCACGACCCCTTTGGGGGTCAAACAACCCTTTCACAGGGGTCGCCTAAGACCATCGGAAAACACATATTTCCGATGTGTAAAGAGCAGCTACTGTGTAGAAAGCAGCTGCTGTGTTGAAAGCAGACATATTGGAGGTTAACCACTTCCCGACCGGCTGTTGCATATAAAGGCCAGACGGTGGCAGTGCAGGGTCGGGTGGATGTTTTGTAAACGGCCTCCCCACACCCTGCTTGTGCGCGCTCCCTAGGAGCGCGCAGCATCGCGATCCGGTGCCCGCTGTGTCCTCCGGACACAGTGAAACACCGATCGTCAGACGGGACCTTTGTGCGAGGTCCCGATCATGTGATCACTGATTGGCCAATCAGTGATCACATGCAAAGTAGTAAGCAAGATGTCACTTGTGACATCATTGCTTACTATGTGTGAAATCTGTGAATGATCACAGAGGTCACATGGTACAGGGCTATTCACAACAGCCTTGTACCATGTGACAAGCTGTGACCAATCACAGCTCACTTAGTAGTTCTCAATGAGTGCAAGAATGCAGACAGAGAGAAAGAGAAATGATTGCTTTTACATCCTATATGCTTGTAAAAGCAATCAGTGTAAAAAAAAAAAAAATCTTCATCACCCCCCACAAGTAGTACAGTGTCACCATGGTGACACTGTACTGCTAGGGTGACAGTATGTAAAAATAAAATAAAATTAAAAAATAATATAAAAAAAAAAATAAAAAATGTAAAAAAAAGTTTAAAAATTATAATTTTTGGTTATAAACTAATTTTGATTTTTTTATATTTTACTAAAGAGATAATGGAATACATTTTGGCCAAGATTTATGATGAAATATTATTTATTTGCAAAATGTTATTAAAAAAACAATTTTTTTCTAAATTTTTGAACTTTTTCATTTACATAGCAAAAAAAATAAAAATCCCAGCGGTGAATAAATACCACCAAAATAAAGCTTTATCTGTCTCAAAAAAAATGGTAAAAAATTCATATGGGTTAGTGTTGCAAGACCGTGCGCAATTGTCATTCAAAGTGTGATAGTGCTGAAAGCTGAAAATTGCCCTGGACAGGAAGGGGGTAAAAGTGTCTGGTCTGGAAGGGGGTGAAAGTGTCCGGTCTGGAAGGGGGGGAAAGTGTCCGGTGAAAAAGTGTCCGGTCTGGAAGGGGGTGAAAGTGTCCAGTGGGTGAAAGTGTCCGGTCTGGAAGGGGGTGAAAGTGTCCGGTCTGGAAGGGGGTGAAAGTGTCCGGTCTGGAAGTGGTTAAACAACACTTCATGAATTATAATTACTGGGTAAATAATTTTATGGTTGGGGGTCACCTAAACACGAGGAACTGTATTAAAGGGTGGTTGAGAACCACTGCTGTAGGTGATAACAGAATGGCCCAATCATAAAAGAAAACATGGCAACAAGTAAACCAATGAAATGCCCCCCTGTTCAAAAGTCTGCATCCCCTTAGCTCGTATTACTGTGTATTGCCCCCTTTAGCATCTCTGACAGCGTGCAGTTTTTTGTAACAGTTGACTTTGCGAGCCCCAAATTCCTGCAGGTGGTAGAGCTGCCCATTCATCTTGGCAAAATGCTTCCAGGTCATGCAAAGTCTTTGGTCGTCTTTTGCATGAATCGCACACTTGAGATCTCCCCAGAGTGGCTCGATGATACTAAGGTCAGGAGACTGTGATGGACACTCCAGAACCTTCACATTTTTCTGCTGTAACGACTGAAGGGTCAGCTTGGCATTGTGCTTAGGGTCATTGTCATGCTGGAAAGTCCAAGAGCATCCCATGCGCAGATTTTGTGTAGAAGAATTCAAATTGTATGCCAGTATTTTCTGATAACGTGCTGCATTCATCTTGCTATCAATTTTCACAAATTTTCCCTTGCCTTTGGAGCTCACACACCCCAAAACATTAGTGAGCCACCACAATGCTTCACAGTAGGGATGGTATTCTTGTTACTGTAGGCCTTGTTGACCCCTCTCCAAACATGGTTGTGTCCATAAAGCTCTCTTTTGGTCTGGTCACTCCAGATTACAGTGTGCCAGAAGCTGTGAGGTGTGTCAGGGTGTTGTCGGCATATTATAACCAAGCTTTTATGCCCCATTGGTGCAGTAAAGACTTCCTTCTGGCAGCTCGACCATGCAGCTCATTTTTGTTCAAGTATTCTTGTAATGTGCTCTTTGAAACAACAACACCATCTTTTTCCAGAGCAGCCTGTATTTCTCCTGGAGGTTACCTGTGTTTTTTTTTTTTTATCCCAAACAATTCTTCTATCAGTTGTGGCTGCAATCTTTCTTGGTCTACCTGACATTGGCTTGGTATCAAGAGATCCCCGAACTTCTTCACCACTTGCCCTCCTGAGGATTTACCCCCCTTCCTGACCAGGCCTCTTTCTGCTACTCGGCACTGCACTAATTCAAGTGACAATTGCGTGGTCATGCAATGCTGCATCCAAATAAAATTTAAGTCCTTTTTTTCACACAAATAGAACTTTCTTTCGGTGGTATTTGATCATCTGTGCGCTTTTTATTTTTCACGCTAGAAACAAAAAAATACCACAAATGTTGAAAAACAATATTTTTTGCTTTCAGCTATAAAAAATATATAGTAAAAACTCAAAGTTGGTTATAAATTTAGGCCAAAATGTATTCTGCTCCATGTTTTTGGTAAAAAAAAATCCCAATGAGTGTATATTGATTGCTTTGTGTGGAAGTTATAGCGTCTACAAACTATGGTATAGATACTGCAATTTACGCCATTTTTCTTCTATACAGCGCTGTGCTAGTTTAACTGACAATTGCGCGGTCATGCAATACGGTACATAAATGAAATTTACATCCTTTTTTCCCACAAATTGAGCTTTCTTTCAGTGGCATTTAATCGCCTGTATGTTTTTTATTTTTTGCGCTATAAAAAAAAAGGCTGACAATTTTGAGGAAAAAAAAAATATTTTGGACTTTTTGCTATAAAACGTCCAGTAAAAAAAAATGTAAAAATCAAATTTAGTCATACATTTCTGCCAAAATGCATTCTGCGACATGTCTTTGCTAAAAAAAAAACCCAATATGTGTAAATTAATTGGTTTACGTGAACGTTATAGCGTTTACAAATGGCGGGAAAGATACTGGGATTTTTAATTTTTTTTTATACTAATAATGGCGGCGATCAGCGACTTATAGCGGCGATCAGTGACTTATGGCCGGGCTACGGGACTGTGGCCAACATTCTGACACTGGGGGGGACATCCCCAGTGACACCAATACAGTGATCAGTGCAAAAAAAAAAAAACACTGACACTGTACTAATGGCACTGGGGAGGAAAGGGTTAACTTTTTTATTTACTGAAAGGGTTAACTGTGTGAGGGGAGTGTTTTACCAGGGGGCGGGGGTGTGTACTGCAGGGGAACACGCTGATCCGGAGAGATAAACTCTTCTTTCCGGATCAGCATGTCAGGAGCTGACTGGGGACTGACAGAAAGCACAGCTGCAGTGTAAAATCCCAATACGTGTAAATTAATTGGTTTACGTGAAAGTTATAGCATTTACAAATGGCGGGAAAGATACTGGGATTTTAAATACTAATAATGGCGGCGATCAGTGACTTATGGCGGTGATCAGCGACTTATGGCGGCAATCAGCAGTGTTTTACTAGGGGGCGGGGGGGGGTGTACTGCAATGGAACACGCTGCAGCCGTCCTCTCTGTCAGTGATTGCCGTTAATCGCCGGGACACGGTAGGTAATGACCGGCCGTGACCCGGCAACTGATTCCCGGCGGCCGCAATTGGCGGAACGAGTAGGGCGAGCACGCGCCTCGCTCGCGCCCCCT